CCTCCTAACAGGAACATGGTCACCTTAACCGCGCGCCTTTTGTGTCATAACGTGAACATTCGACCGTCCTATCCGACACGGTTCACCGTATGCACCACTGCGAGGTGGCGCAGGGACGGCGACCTGCGTGCGGATTAAATTCTAGTGAGAGTAAACTTGCACTGCATCTACCACACTCTTCCTTTCCCTCACCTGGGCTCGATATAATGACCAACTTAAGTAGACCAGAAGCATAATCAGACGCGTGTGGCGGAGACGGCTACAGAAGTTTTTGGGCGTGCCACTATAACTCACTCGGATCGCGCGAAGTCGGAGTGCCATAGAGGACACCAACCAGAAAGCTTTGGTGACAATGGACCAATCACATATAACGAAAAATCAATAGCCACGGTGCGCACTCTCATGCCAACGGCGTGGCAGCTCTGATCACAGACGCCTCTGTATGCGATGGCTCATCATGGAAATGGAGGCATTCCCGACACCCCCTTCAAGTGGGTCCGTACCGCTAATGGTGTGGGTTGACCTGTACGGGCTGCGTTTTTCAGCGAACATGGTTCTCCCGGCGTGCTGCGAGCACTTTCCGGTCTACAGTTGGGGGACCAGGCACTGGTACCGAAGGGGAAACACCTAAAGGAGGTGCAGCATTGGATTCTGGGACTTGTTGGTGTACTGAAAGGCCAAGTTATTCAGTAGGATATCGAGAGGGAGTGAAGCAGCAGATTCGGGTCTAGTTGGCTTACTGCACCGCCAGCGTGGGGTCTGGTTGCGGTGACGAACTTAGGTTTAGAAGAAGACGAACCGATCACTGGAACAAGAGGCTTATTATCCTGGCGTTTTGGATTCCCTCGGGAATACTTAATCATAGGTAATAGTAGAACAGTCTGAGACATGCGCAGATTACACGGTATTTATAGTTCGTAGCGGTCCCTCGCATGCGTACTATGATTTTCAGTTTCTTTAGCCACCGCTTGAGGTCTTAATTGGTGCAGTGATGGGTCATTAATTGCCACAGCGTTCTTGTCCGCGTCGGATACGGGTTTGATATTTGCGCGACAATTAGGCCCGCTGTCGTCAGAGCTGTC